AGTTACTTTATTTTAAAAAATAAAGTTAAAATAAAGAATAAAGAAAATATTTTCAAATGATTAGTAATTAAACAAATAATTGATATATAAAGAGGTAATATTGATCGCAGTTTTTTCTGACCACTAGCCACATTCTAAGAAGGAATAATGCTAGCAAATGAACGTGGGGCATAAGAGATTTATGGGAAAAATTTCTTTATTCTTTATTTTAACTTTATTTTTTAAAATAAAGTAACTTTTTCTTTATCTTTATTTTATAAAGTAAAGATTAACTTTATTTTTATTTTATAAATATAAAGATATACTTTATTTCTTTATCTTTATTTTTAAAATAAAGATTATCTTTATTCTTTAAAAAATAAAGATAAAGATTCACTTTATCTTTATTTTATAAAGTAAAGATAAAGTAACACCCCTAATACGAATGTTAATAATATAATATTGCTAAATAAACAATAGAAAGTTTTTTCTTCATTCAAATCATTGTGTTGTTATATTTTCAGTATTTGTATCACTACCATCACCAATAACAGTCATATATCTAGTAAGTACTTTACGTGTTGATGGTATTCTTTCTTGTGGTTGTTCATGTAAATCATTATTTGTAACTTGTGCATGAATATTTTCTAATTCAACTGTACGATGTAAAGGTGCAAAACTCATTTGATGTGATGATGATGATGGTTCTGTTGACATTATAGTTATTTCTTTTTTCTATAATTGAAAATTGTATGTGTTGACTTTATCTACTGTTCGAAATAACTTCTCATGAACGGAAATAAGAACGGCAGAATGATTTTTCTCTACTTTTTTTTGCGTTATTATGTCTATCCTCTTCAAGATTGTCACATAGTTTTACTCTCTCAATATTTCATTTAATAAGACCTAAATTATTTCCTTTTCCTTTCAATATGAATAAGACCATATTCTATTCAGCAATTAAATAGTCACAATTCTAAGAAAAGAAAAGAACAGAAAAAGAAAGAAAATCTAATTAATCTTATTCTTCTTTAACTCTTATAAACTATTTCAGAATTGATATAGATTAATCGATTATATATGGATAAATATGCAAACGATTTATCAGTGTGTATTAAAAATCAAAGAAGAAAAATAACTTCTTAATGGAAAATAAATCATAGAACAGGAAATAAACACTATGAATACAATGAATAAAAATAGAAAGGTTTATATGAGGAAAAAAAACAAAATTTAAGGTAATCGGGTACATTATAGATTCAAGAAGGGATCAATAATTTTAGCTTAAAGTCGAAACAGTGTACGAAATGAATACAAACAACCTGTCATTATTGATTGAAGAAAAAAAAAACAAGTGAAAATTCCCACCTCTTACTTCAAGAGTATGACAATCTAAGTCAATTCTGTTTCACTACTATAATGAGCTGTTATTTGCATACAAAAATAAAGTTATATATAGATTATATTATTAATATAGAGCAATCTTTCAGTTTTAACTATGTTGATATAATGATTCATTCACAAAAAATCAATAAAAAGAAAAAGACTTTCTGTTTAATTTACTACTACGTGTGTATTATTGTACTAAAAGTAAACATCTAATTTCTATGAATCCATCGCTATGACGTATATTGAGAAGTATACATTGTGAATAATTTATAGCAAAAAATATGAATACTATACATGTGATTTATCTATAAGTTGTTGTATTTGTATTCACGTACGCGAGTGATTCGCTTTAAGGGCTTGTGTAGGACTATGTAGATTTATAAATGTGTTAAAAAAATTGTATTGTTAAATATACATATATAAGCATCACAGCTTGGAAACCCGTCATAAGACCTGATTAAAATACAGAATTTTTAGAATATCAGCGACACACATTTTGTGAAAATCTTATAATTGAGATTTTTATCTACGCAAAGTTTCAATTGATTAATCAAAAATATAAATATTTCGAATTTTTATTTGAGAACCATATTTTATTTATAGATATAAGACTTAGTTAGATATATGTCGTAGTATTCTAAACTAAAAATTGCGTAAACCATGTTTCGTAAGATTGTGACTATAGAGGTATTACGCTTCGTACTTTTTCACAATACAAAAAAAGGTATCTTCGTGATAAATATTGTTTATTGGTAGTCATGTACCAGATGCAATTATATACAAAATGATTCACTCATATGACATTGTCGATATGTAACTAATATCTGATATAATTATCATTGGACGTGCTCTTTATTTTCCCCGATAGTTATATATACATATGAAAAAACGAATGAATAATTATATATTGACTCATTTCGTCAATACTGTTCGCGAAAGTAACATATCCTCTCTGTACACGTCATTATGCTGTATAATTGAAGGCAAAAAAAACAAAAAAATGCTTTTTCTTTTTTCTTCTTTTTCTCCTAAACTGCATATGATTGTTGTCAACGCCTCAAGTAAATTATCAGTTTTTCTTTTTGTGTACCAACGTCATACGAAACGAAAAAGAAAAAGAAAAAGAAAGAAAAATGTATGTCTGAGGACATAAAGAACAGCAAAGAAAAAATATTTTAACTTTCATTCGTAACCTTCAGCACAAACCAGTGCCGATTTAAACTTTTTTTTTCCTCTGCTCTATAAAATGAAATACAAACAATGTAAGTAATTCTGTAAATTCCAACTCAACTATATTTCATTATTAGTATGTCCTAAATCTCTTCGATCAAATAAGTCATTTAGTAAATTACATAAACGTTGTTCATTATGTGATTGTTTATTAAAAACTCAACATTATTTAACAATAGGTAAATCTATTCATGATTCAGTAATAATTAATAATAATAAAACAATAACATATGCTGAATGTTGTCAACGATATTTAAACGACAAATCTCTATCCGATCAATCACATATTATTTGTTCGAAATGTTGTAATAATTTACAAAATCTTCATTCATTACATGTAAATGCAGAAGAATTAACTAATAAAATACATCGAACATGTTATAAAACAAAACGTTTAAATCGAATTCGTCAGTCTTATTCAATCAATAGAATGAATAGAGAAATTAAAGAAGAACCAAAATCACTATCTGATACGAATAAACATGTAAATTAGAATTAGAATTAATAAATAAGCTTTTTTTCGTCCATTTTATATTTTAGATTGAAACAACATCGAATATTCCAAGTATTAATTCAGCTTTTATTCCATCACAAATATTTTCTAATGATTTTGATTTGTATCGTGATGCAGTACATAATGCATCTACAGTATGTTTTAAAAAAACAGAAATAATATTTACATTTTATTATTTTAGGTACCTTATGCTCAATTTTTAATTGATTCACCCATAGCTACAAATTTATCTCATCAACAAAAACAACGAGATGAATCAAATAATGATAAATCATTATCACCTGGTTTGTTTTCATTTAATATATTAATATACGAGTATTTAGCAGCAGAAAGCATATAGATAAGTTTCGTTATGATAGAACTAATCATTATACTTTCGATCTAAGTGCATGTTTCAGTTATGATAGTTACATATGCATATCAAACATAAATAATTATTTCAAACTATTTTTATGTGAAAAATTATTCGGTCATGTTTTTACATAACTTCCATTTGATGTGCATAAAAAATTAATTTTTCTTTCAAATATTTCTATAGAGACGTAGCTTATAAGAGATGAATTTTATGTTCGTCGATGTATTTTTGTAATGTGCTTTTGGAAGGTTTTTTTTTATCGAAATGTAAACTATGTTTATCTTACGCGTTCTGTTCTATTCAGTATATAGGCCAATATGTGTTTTTTGTTTTTTTTACAATGAATTCTATAACGAAATTATTGAATATATGGGTTTACTGCCACGCCGCCAATAAGACATCCGTCATTGGCGAAATTTCACGCATTATTTGACGTAAATACAGTGTATTCTCGCCAACTGTAATAACATAAGATTAGTATAGAATACATGTGAAAAATAAACCTAATATAGTTACTAGAAGCTATTTTTACACATATGTAATCACATAATGACACTGGCGACTTTCCTGTAAGTAGGTTAGCGATATTCAAGAATCCCGATATATGTAAAATATAGTTTAATTCAAAGATGATACTACGTTGTCACGATTATGTTTTTATCTTAGTATTGCTAGCAATTCTAGACAAAATACAATTTCGATTCAATTAGAAAACCTTGTATCCTTATATAATTAATATCAAAAGATCATAAGTTAGTTGCTATCGTTAAATAATCGATAGTTATTATTAAATTATCAACAACTCAATTTATATTTACAGATGACGATCGATCAATTATATCATGTACAAATGACGAAGAAACTAATTCGAAAAGTGGTCGTTTAACTCGTCGTCAATATGATTTTCTTATGGAATTACCTGATCAACAATCATTGAATGCTTTCATTGAATCTTCATCATCAGAATCTGGTTCTCGTTGGACATGGCGTCGAACATCATCGAATTCACGTGGATATAAAGTTTATTATGTATGTAATTTTTCTATGCGTCGTCATTATCATCCATGTCCAGCTGCAATGTATGCACTTTTTAATCCAGAAGGTACAATATCAGTTTATTCCTATGGTCAACATCAACATGTTCCTAAAAATCATCTTCCATTAATTATATCTGATGAAACTAAAGAAGAAATATTTAAATGTTTACAAACAGATATGTCAGCAAGTGAAATACGTGATCATTTAATTCAATTAAAATTACCATTTGGTGATACAAAAAAATTAAATAATTTTATTAAATATCATAGAGAATTATTACGTTTTGGTGCAGTTACTAATGTTCGATTGAATGGGACTGCTTATCGTCAACCTCATTGTTGGGCTATTCGACGATCATCACCTATAAATGCAAATACAACAACATCATCATAGACAATTTTTATCAGGCATACAGAAAAATAAACTTAAGTTTTTTTAAATTATTTTCCTCGGTAGAAAATAAATTTGAGGATGTTTTTTTTAAATAGATTTAAATTTCTATTTCTGTTATGTCTTCATAAGTAAATCAATGGTGAGTTTTTTAGTAATATACTTTTTAATTGACAGTAGTGGTGTGAGTATCTTAAGCGATGAAGTATCGGTTAAATCATATTTTGTCCTAAAAATCTTTTTGCACAAAATTGTTTATTAATATAGCAGTATTTTTTCTTGCTCATTATACAAAACATGAGTACTTTCATATATGCGTCAAACCATCTGTTTTTTCTCTCCTATAACTTGGTCATGTTGACACCGTAAAAATGCTTTACAGTCATTCTGAATTCGATGCAAAGTTCTATTTATTGACATTTACTTGAATTTATTCTGATCAATCTATTGATAATATATAACATACCTAAACTATATAGAAAAAAAAAGTCATAGTCTTGATGTTTTCTACTAAAATACCAAAAATACATGACATTGACAATCATGAGAATCGTTGAATAATTGCTTCACACATAATTATATATTGTTGTAAAAATCTATCGCTAGGAAATGATGATCAGAGATGAATTCTATAAACTTCTTTTTTATTTTTGATGTCATATATCATCTAATTGTCTAGACTACTCGTGGTAATTATCAACATTTATGATCATGTTCTTTTTTTTCCATTCATAATAAGATCTTCAAAAGACATATGACAAGGATTCATTAATATTTACATTGTTCTTTGTTTCTATATAT